GTCAACATTATCCAATCTAGTCTCTGTAACTCGATATTTTAATTTCTTTTTTTTTGGCCAAGTGTTTTGTTTCCATTTCATAATTTCTGTATTTACCCATTGATTTAATTGACAGCTAGTCAATTTTATTTACTGATTTTATAATTATTTAATGTATTGATCAAATGTTGTATTTCGTTAATAGGAATGTATAAGATCAGTTCTTTGTTCTAATCTTTTTTGTTTATTTTTAATTTTTAAATTTAAAAACAAAAGTCTATTCAATTTTGTCTTAAATTTTAACTTTGCATGACATATATTCATACATTCATATCATTAAATCATCGCCAGATTACCTTTTTAAAAGTTATTCAGAGCCGGAAATTGCAGATAGAGAATTCTTATTACATGCACTCAAAAGATTGATAATTTTCTCTAAATTGTACATTGTGATTAATCTTCTTAATTAACTTTCAATAAGTAACTATTAATAATAATCATACGAATATAAACCAACGTAATAAATCATTAAATAATACTAGAAATTTTTATTCTTTTTAATTGTATGACATTTTCATTGAAAGAATAAAATCAAAATTCAAATTAATATTTATTTCTATTTCGTATGAAAAAAAAAATATTATATGTAAACAAAAATATATGTAGAACACATATAATTGAATTGTAATACATGTAATAAATATATTTACTAAAAAATTGGAAGACAATTCCCAATTAATTTGAATTATTATTAATAAAAGAAAATTTGTGAAATAATTGAAATTAAAATAATCTGAATAATAAATGATATATTATTTGCACTATTAACTGTTTCATTTATCCATGATTGATAAGCTGCAACTCGTGTATAAATACCAGGATATAGAGCTCTTGCGCATCCAATACCAGTCGAAGTTATTCCGACTTGTTCCCAAACATTATCGGAAATAAACATTAATATTGGACCCCCACTATCACCTTGACATGTATCTAAAAGAAAAGAAATTATCATACGATGTATATATATATAAAATTTATAAAAACTTACCCTTATTACCACCAGGCATTATTCCAGCACAAAATTGTTTAGATGCATCAGCAAGTTTTACATTTTTACAATAGGTACTAGTTACAGCTACTGATTTAATTGTTACTTGCTGAAGTATAGAAGACACTATACCACTTCCTTCTGATGTATAACCCCAACCAATAGCAATAAGCTACAAATAAGAAGTCAATTTTAGCTAATAAAAAAAAAAAAATCTGATTCATATTTTTAACATTACATCAGTATTAACTGGTGGATATTCTGTACTAGCAAGTATGCTCGATGATACATTAGGTAAACAAATAATATCAACACCATTTTGATCAAGATTTAATTCAGATGATAATTTAATTATAGAAATATCATTGATAAAATTAACTGACGAATAATTTGGATGAATATATATTTTTGAAACACTACGTATTTGAACTCTTTCTGATAAATATATTGATCCAACATAGACTAAAACTGAAGCAGGAGATGATGATAATTGTATAGTACAATGAGCAGCAGTAAGAATATGTAAATTAGTTATAATTGAACCACCACAAAAATGTGAACCACTAGATGTATAACGAAGAGATGCAGCCCATCCCCATGTTTGACTTGAAGCTGATTCTCCTCCAACAATTTTTGTTAAAATAGCTGAATTAGTTGAACATCCACATGAACTTGTTGATGAACAACTATATATTGTTTGATTTGATACATGTATTAAAATAATTTCAAAGAAAAAAATGATGTATGATTTATGTCGTCTAGTCATCACACAAATGCACAGTTTAAAAAAAAATACAACAATTATTGAGATGAAATAAACAGAAAAGAAAAAAAACGCATGAAAGAATATAAAAAATAGAAATGTTGTTATGTCAACGTGCTGTTGCTCAACGTTATGTTTTTGCGTCTTCTATTTTCTAGCATTACTCATTTACTTTTTTTCTTTTGCCTATTTTCCATTTATTACAAACAAAAAAAAAAAAAAAAAGAAAGAAAAGATGTATACCAATAGAAAAGCAGGGAAAAGAGATTAAACGTTAATGAAAATTAAAAAGAAAACAACTTGAAACTTTTTTGGTTTATTCATAATATTTTTGTTCTAAACAATACAAACAAAAAAAAAGAACTATAGATGAGGTTTCTTTTATTTATATAACTTCATCATGGTTGGCAAAGCAGCAAAAAAAAAATGTCAACATTATTTTAATCTAATGGTATCGGATGTATTCATGAAAAAAATTTTCTCTCGTATTCATTCAAGTAATTACAATAGTAGATGATGATGATTAAATAAACTCATTTATTGTCTTAATGTTAACTCTCTTCGAAATTTATTTAAAAGTACAAGATATTGGTTTATGTGAAAGAATTGCTGTACCATCGGCAAGAGTATATAATTAATTCTACAAAATTATTATAATAGAATTTAACTTCCTTGTCAAGTTAGATCTTTTAATAAGTCATTAAAAGAAAAAATAAGATATCTTTGGTATTTCAAGGAAATTTACAATAAAAAAAGAGAATAAAATAAGATGTTTAATAAATAAATTCCTTAGAAATACAAAATCAATATTTGAATTAGATAAGTTTGTATGCATAGGGAAAGATTATTTCTATTATGATAATTTCATTTTATTTACTGATCAAATCAGGTAAATATTTAATATATTTTATTTTAATAAATTATATTGTTGCTGTCACATACATAAAATAATCTTTCATTTAATTTGTATTGTAATTCTGTTATAAACAGAACTATTTTCTAGACATTGGTCATGAATCAATTTTTTGATGATATAGATGAAAACAGTATTCATTCTTACTGATATATTTAAGTTTTGTTCGATTTTAAAATTTGAAGCCTTCCAGTTATTATATATTTTTCATAGAAATTTTATTATACTTTGAAAATGATCAAATGTATTCAAGTTTCATTATTGATATATCTTGGAATATTCTACGAAATACGACCAATTATAAAATATATTTGTCATTGATGTGTATAGTTATATGATTGTGAATGTCAAAATTCGAAGAAAAAGTGTAAGTGTACAAGGAGTGTTTTTTTCTAGTTTTGACTCTTTTTATAACTTCAACGTACAGATCATCAAAATACTTTTTGATCTAATCTTGTAGAATTTTTCAAGTTGTCTTTAATCATATAAAAATTCCAAGTTTGAATAAAACTGTCAACATCTGACAAATCGTCCTAGACTAGAGAGTCTATAATAGTCCTTATATAATGACATTCATAATGACTCCATGAATATTGATCAAATCTTTGTGAAAGTAATGAATTTTTGATCTAATTATGAAACTATAATATAGGACAATGTATTAGAATATTATCATACACTGAAGTTCAATAGTTCTGATCTATAAATTCATTATTGTACAAAAAAATTATGATTTCTATAGATGTAAAAGTCAGTTAGAATTGTAGAACTCACAGATTATCCCGAGCGGAAAGAGAGAGAGGGGGGGAGTTATCCGTCTCCTAATATCATTTATTCATATATAAATATGTAAGGAACTCATTCGATGCAATCCAAAATCGATAAGATCTTTTGAGGTATATCAGATTTATAGAAAATTTTACTTTTATTATTAGGTACTCGTTAAATTATTCTCAGTTCTTTGTCATAGGAAGAACGTTACAGTTATTGAGTGCTTTTTGCAAACTACATGTGATTATTGTATCATAGATCTAAATGCTGACTGTGTGAGTCTCATTTGTTTTTTTCCTTCCGTGAAATATATTATTTTCTAATGTTTGGTGGAATTGCTCCTTGAATAAAAATGATTGCGCTAGTCTCATTCTGTTCATATGAGCGAGAATCTATGCTACAGTTTAATGCAAAACTAGTGCCTGATGTCTTTGATTATGCGATGATAGCTGGCTGCTATAGTTGTTATCGCCACATATTGTCAATATAAAATGTTTATAAAAGTCGTTATATGCATATAGATGTGAATTAAAATAATCGTCGAATTCTGAATAAAACTTGCGGAATAGACTTATCGTTTCATTGAAATTTTCGAATGAATTGATCAAAGTCTTACTAAAAAAAAACAGCATTTATTCTTCAACAGATATTTTTAATGAGAAGATAATTTCTCAAGTATTTTAAAGTGATTTCTAACAAAATTTAGATTAGAGATAGCTATGGCATTGAATTTTTCGAATGAGAAGTTTGACGAAAATATTCATGACAATATGATTGAGATAAGCTGATCACAAGAAGAACATAATGTCTGAATTATAACACTTCAGAATATGTGAATTGATAGAGAGCAAATTCGTGCTTACAATCAAAGTTTATTGTCTCACGCATGTTTTCATTAGTAAATATTAATAATATTTTTTAGTATTTGTATGAATTCATGAAGAACTTCTCAGGAGGATCAGAAATGGACAGAAAGCAACATTACACTATTAGTTTGTATTTGTATTTGTTGATTTTAGATAAACGATAAGACAATCTCTCTATATTAATTAGTTTTAATTCTAAAGAATAAAAAGAAAGAAATTAAAGTTATATTATTTAGTAAAACCAAGAAAAAAAAAGAACAATTTATCAACATTTCTCGACGTTTATGTTTTTGTAGATCATGATAATATGAATTCTATATAATGTAAAGAAGAAGTTTTAGTATTCTCCAACATTTATGAGTTACCTTCAATCCACATATAATATTTAAATATATATATAGCAATAAAATTGATATTTTTCTTTGTTACATAGATTTTAATATTCTACTAATAATATCTTTTCATTACAGAACAAATATTGACAATATATAATAATTTTAGTAACAGGTAAAGTTAGTAGATGGGGTATGATTCGCGTATGCCTAAAAACGATTGGAGAATCATTTTTACGCAATGAACATCATCAAAATATAAATATATACATACATACTCGATTAATCATCAAATAAAAAACAATATAAACATTCTTTTGTAATTTTCATGGCTTCTGCACATCATCTTAATATTTTAGCATTTGGTGCATCATTAACTGAAGGTTTCTGTTCAGATGGTCGTCTATTTCATCCATATACTATTCGTCTTTCTCAACTTCTTCGTTCATTATGTAAAACAGTTGATATTAATAATGCTGGTTTAAGTGGTGAAGCAGTTTTAAGTGATACAATGTTACCAAGACTTAAACGATTATTATCATTAACAAAAATTAAATATGATTGGATATTTATTTTAGCTGGTACAAATGATACAATACGTGATCAACAAAAAGCTTCTCGAATTTTTGATGGTTATAAATTATTAATTAATGAATGTCATAATCATGGAGCACGAGTACTTTGTATGACTTTACCGGAAACATCCTATCCAAGAGAATCACCATTTGATAAACAACGACAAGAATTTAATCGATTATTACGAGAAGAATTAATATCAAAAGATAATGATAATAATAATAATAATATTATAGTTCTTGATCTTGATCGACTTTTACCACAACATTCACTTTCTAATGTTGAACGTCGACAGATTTGGGATGATGGAATACATTTAAAACCACAAGGTTATGATCGATTAGGACAATTAATCTACGATATACTTAAGCCTTATCTATCATAGATTAGTTTTTTGTGTCTAATTGTTAAATCTAATATCATCTGAAGATATTTTTATATTCAATTAAAAATAGGCATAACAAAAGAAAACCTATAAAAAGAAATCATATGATTTTTTTTTACTTGTTTCTTTTCATTGTTTTTTATTCTATTAGAAAATTTCATATATTTTTTTATGTGAAAAGAAGTTATTGTCTTTTTCTTTTTTTTTTTTTTTGTTTAAATCAAATATTTAACGTGCGTTTTTTTTGCTTGAAAAATCAAACATGCGAATATCGGAAATCTCATCAGGTACTTATCAAAGTCAAGTCAAACGTGTAAGCATTCAAACAATTTCTAATGTAGAAAAACATGAAACTCCATTTATATGGGTTAGTTAATCTATTTAGATAAAATTCATTATTTTTGATAATAAATCATTTATATATATGTATATCCTAGTCAAAATTTAATCGACTAAGCAGTATGCAAAGTACAGTAACACCAGATATTGTTGATATACCAGAGAGAACTATTGAAAAAACATCAGTACCAGAATCATCAGAAAAGTAAATAAAAAAAAAAAATTAATTTTCAGTAAAATTAATTTTATTTCATATTTTATTTTAGATCATTTATTTTTAATCGAAATCGTATAATTTTTATTACTATTGGTGTTCTATTTGCTCTTTCGACTTCTATTACTGCTGTTGCACTTGCTATTAAATTTCGTTCGTAAATAAATATATATATATATGAAATACAATTGTAAATAAAAATTAACTGTAATTAACTTTAATTACAGAAAATAAATTATACTATTGGACGTTGAAAAAGTTTTGAAAACTATTATCTAATCCAAAATGAAAGACAGGTTACCATTTTTCGAATAATTTTTGATAGGAACAAGATACAGAGCTGCGGTTTTTATTATTCGAAAGAGTGATGTCCGGATCATTGATCGGTATAGAACTCATTAAGACGAAAGATGTTTTTTTTATAGGTATTTTTGGATATTACATTATCACATAATTTGAATTGGGATTATTGTGAAAATACTCAAAGGTAAAAGTGTCGATCCAAAGGTATCTATAAAAAAAAACAATCGATATCCCGGACATCGCTCTTTCGAATAATGAAAACCAAAACTCTCTATCTTGTTCCTATGAAAAGTTATTCAAAAAATACTCAGCTTTTTTTTTTTGTTTTAAAATAGAATTAGTATAACCCTTACATTTTACAGAAAAACGATTCTTATCGTAATTTTATTATTACGATATTAGTTCAATAGTGATCAATTAGTACAGAAAAATAGAGCGTTGTTTTCTCCATCATTACAGAAAAAAAAAGAGAAAATTTCTTCAAGCTTTCTATATGGAAATAAGATAATGATGGCACTACTTTTGGTATATCCTAAGTAACTCAAAAAATTCATAACTCATGCTAGAAGCAACTTGTGTACAAACCAAATTAGGATATATCACTCCCAGCTATCCTCTACCTAACCATCATACTTCCAGCCGAAAAACTTTCTAGCACCTCGGATGGTTCCCTAGTTAGTTAAATATATTGCATTTAGGTAGATATTTAATCTATATATATATTAAAATAGTTGAATAACAGAAGCTTAGAGATGAAGTGAGACTAGCTGAATGTATCTGATAGAACATATCTTTAAATTCTCTCTTCTTTGAAAAATTTAATAACAAAAGTTTTTATGTAGTTTGCAATATTTCGATGGATTTGATACCACTGATGCCTCATGATAGTATTTGTTGAAAAGTTTCTTAACTAATCATTAAAAAAAAATTGAATTTTAAAGTAATAAATATTCTCAACGAACGAAAGAGGAGGTAAAGCTAAATAATTTAACTTTTAACATTGCATCTTGTATAATAAATGTGTCAACATTATCAATCATTGTAATTCTTTGACAGTTTTGTGTGAAATATATAAATCAACTAGACCGGATTCAATAGAAACAAGAAATAAAATTGATGGAATACCAATAAAATCTAGTTCATCAGAAATATTTTATTAAATGGAACTATTAAATAACAGTATGATGAACTCACATTCGAACCAACTTGCCTGTTGAACAAGGAAACAAGGCTCTTCTACAGCTTCTTAAATATAATTTTAAAGACTTCAATCTATTTCTCAGTAGTTTAGCACACTTCAGTGCTAAAACTATACTATTTTCCTCGAACATCTAGAGATTGAATGAAAGTTATAGAATAATATAAAAAGTTCCGATTCAATACAGTCATACATAGGTAGGCATCTGTAGATTTGGGTTCACTAACCTATGGATTTGCAGCTCATTACTTGCTTCACCTCATTTGCACAAATACAACTAAAACTATTCCATAGAGGTGACGATTTTGATATTACTGTTAGTTTGAAAGATTTTAACTGTTCAATTTCCTTTGTTTTTTTAACATAATGTTCTTTTTAATTAAGCAAAAACTTTTAATTTATTAAAGCATTCAAAGAACAACATTTCTAAGAATAGTCAATAAGTAATTAAAACTTTGATCTCTCATTTATTTATATACACAAAGAATGCCTAATATTGATAGAAAAAAAAACTCGGATATAAAACTGGTCAGATTCGAATCCACAAAATGTAGGCCCACAACTCCCTATACATAGGTATTGTAAATATATTTTCGAATACAATCGAAGCTGAGGTAACATTGAAAAACATTTCGAATGTTAATACAGTATTAATGAGTAAATACAAAGTGCATTTAAATTAGTTTCAAAAAATTTTTTTCAAATGTTTTTTAGGAATTTTTCAGACTTTTTTTTTAGTATAAAATTACTATCAGAACAAAAAATTTATTTCTAAATGTTTTTGTATATAAGAGTAAAAATGAATACTCGTTAGAAGAGTTCTTTATATATTATTTATCTTCATCAATCTTTTTTTTTTCTTATGATTTTATTATAATATAACTGTTCTTTTAAGTCACATTTGTATTGTAATATAATAATAAACTAATAAAAAAATTCAACATATTTTTTATAATAAAATTTTATTTGTCATCTATTCATATTGATTATTTGACTAGAAAGTTCTCATCATCGATCATTGCATCAAAGACAAAAGAACTGAATAAATACCTTTGTAAAACTATAGTTACCAATGTCATTCTCTGCAGATATACATAATGAAATTGTTGGCCTTATTATCATTTTTTGTTGTTATTACAACAAGATGTAATGCACTTTTGTGTTTTGATGCTAAAACAGTTATTGTCATACCATTAGATAACTTTTCTTTGAATGATTTTACGAAAATTATTAAAAATTTTAGTTCTACAAACGGACATGAAAAATGTCTTGTGGAAATTCAAATTAATTATGGACAAGAAATTTTGAATGTTTTATTTGGTAGTATTGCTAATTCAAATAGTCTCACTACAAATTCACAAATTTATATTGATACTTATATAATATTGAATCAACCTGAAATACATATGGAATCGAATAATATTATGAACAATATTCGATTTATATGTAATACAAATGATTGTAATCGTCAATTTGTATTTGATCATCTCGAATGGTTATTAGAAGTAGAATATAATGATTTAGTATCTAATATTAGTCCATTATTGATAAGTAAAAATGAAAAAACAGGTAAGAAAACTATCATTTATTTTTTTTTTATTGAATTTTAAAACGAACTGAATCATTGTTAAATACAGAAATTTTAATCTAAAAGTAAAAAATTTCTCCTAGCGATCTTGTGCATAATAGTTTTTCGATTTGTTTTTTTTTTTTCATCAAACAATCCTACATATGTTTTCATCTACTAAATGAATCGATAATTTTAAAAATATAATTCTCATATATTTATTTTTTTTGTTAATCTATATAGATAAATGTATATTTGGTGAACAAAATCAAATTCAATTATGTCCAACTGGTATCTGTTATTTAGAATATTCAATGTCAACTGATCAAATAAGATATGAATGTGAAAATGATCCAGATATTCAACCTGCACTTCATATTCGTACTTATTTTACAATTCAAGAAGATCACAATCGAGAACAAATGGCTAAAATTAATTTTACAATTAATTATTGGTGTCAATTAGATGGTTGTAATAATAAAACAATTGCAACACAAATTATAACAATTATAGAAGAAAATTATAATTTATTTGAAATAAAAGATATTCTCGATCTTGCCTACATAGAATATTGGCTCGAAGAAGAAATAGATGAACACTCCGAAACAAACAAGAAATAATAACAATGTTCATGCCAACTCAAAAAAAATCAAGCAATGATACAAATTTGATTTATATAGCTATGAATTTGTGTTGTATTTAATGATTTTTTTGTCCTATTTTTCTAAAACTATATGATTAAATACATCATGGATGATTGAAAAGTGATTAAATAAAATGTCCATTCGTTTTTCATCTTTTTCAAGGATCTCGCAGAAATTTCAAAAAATTAATTATGATAGAGCTTTGCAATTTATTGATTTTATTGTAAAAAGTCGAATCTATTAATACGAAATAAACGTAGAATATGTATTTTTTAAACTTAATAAATCATTAAAAAAAAATTTTATTTTAGAATGATTACATTTTTTTCTTGTTTTTAAACATTTTAAATCTATTCTTATAGTCATAAAAAAAAAGAAGAAAAAACTATAGTAAAGCGAGACGCTTCGGTTTATCTTGTTCGAAGCGATTTCAAGGTGAAAAATATCAGTTTATCCTTATGAAGTATGACTTAGGACAAAGAAAGAAAAAGCGAGACTTCAAGTACTTCCCTCGTACTTCATGTACTGAAATCTGGCTTTTCCTTCTTGCTTAGGACCTATTTGAAAAAAAATCAAAACAAAAAATCCTTGTCTAAGCGAAAGTTCGTCTTGTTCAAGTCAAACTAATCCCTGTCTAACTGGTATTTCTGCTATTTAAGTAAAAATTACCCTTGTCTAGACGAAATACTTATCTAAGACAGATGTTTCTGTTTTTTTCCCTAAATTGATTCTATT